CGCTGATTACGGACCTGGTATTGAGCACTGACGCCGGCTTCTTTAGTTTTGGATCTCAACATATCACCATATTTGTCGTTGCCGATTGCACCGAAGAATGCAGCACGGTTCGGTTTGTTGAGGATCCACTGAGTTCAAAACGTGTGATAATTTAGAAGACTCGCGCGTTTCGTCAGTAATCAACAAATTATTTTCTCAGTATGGCTGAGTGGGACCGACAAGTTTTTACGACGGAGAGGAATTAATTTTTAGCAGTTACTTTATGGTTAGCGTTGAAAGTGTAGCGGAGGAGAGCTACATGGAGGCTTCCAATGTGAAAGGAAATCCCATCCTACAAATTCATACAACAAAAAACAGGCTCAATAAGGTGTCGTGGTGATAAGAAGTGATCTAGCTGCCCAACATTCACATCTCCAGAATGGAGTATCAGAACAAGGTTCGTTCTTTAAAGTGTTTTCACAGTAATAATGAGTAGTTGGTCTCAAACACGATTGACAAGGTAGTAAGTAAGGCACTTTTCACAAACTGCAACACACGAATTGGAGGTTCGGCGAAAAGCAATGAATACGTATCGATCGAAGAATCGTCAACCGCTCAGGCGAAACGCCGGAGCGATTCGGCATTTCGGCGAAAGGTTATAGTGTAGTTCCCTGCGGACGGTTGGGCGTGTCAGGAGGGATAAGTTTGGCGCGGTGCCAAAACCCATTCTCCACCAGTTTAAAGCGAGCAAATAGACTGATAGACTTATCACATAGCTTCGTATTTTTCGTTTTCTACCACTTTTGTCGCATGCGCGCTTCAACAGAAGGAAGTAAACCGCTTTGTCGAGGTGGCACACTCATACTGCCTGACACGCCCAGCCGTCCGCAGCGAACTAGAGTGTAGATGCGTGTCGATTTCGCTGACTCCGTCCGAGAGAAGAAATGGTAGGCGGACGGCGCTAGCGTTTTCGCGCAGGCGAATGCCGAACCGCCTGTCTACATGTATCAAAATCTTTCGAGGAAGCGTTTCCTTTGTCGATTCCGCAGGTTCGCAGACTGCGAACAGACTAACTTAACAGCAGAGAAAAAACAAAAGAAAACATGTCTTGAGGGATGTATACTCCGCCGATACGAACCTGTACGGGCACAAGGAGAGGTGTACTGGGTGAGTTCTCTTTTATAGGTACCATAACGATATCATCTCTTTTCCCTTATCACCTCAATCTCACCACTTAAAACGGAGGGACCTAGTAGCAGTATCATCACGCCGCCGAAGGAAATGAGTGCTGGGCGAGCAAAAGGAGTTGGCTGGCGCGCCGTCTTTGCCACGTCACTTAGCGTCCTTGGAACGCACTTTCAAGCAGGAAGTAGGACATGCTTTACGCTCGCTTGCTCTACCCGCTTCAATAAACGAGAATATCAACTGGACGAGAGACAAGCCTTTAAGTGATGAAGTAATTGGTGTATTAACTGTGAATAATTCGTCCACAGTCCAACAAAGCCCGGAAAGCCGGCAAAGGGGCCCCTCCTAAGATTTTATAGCACTTAGATAATTTTGTAATGAGAAACAAAAGTGCCGTCTCAACCAACCGAGCGAGCGCAGCCTTATGCAAACTGTTGCTCCTGTGCATTCCTTGTACAAAACTTTGACGGTGAACACTGCCGAATGAATCCATCCTTACCTGGCAAACACGCACGGCATTTTGAGTCGCACCTCCAGGAATGTATTCGACTTCAAACTTTTCGACAAGTTCATCAAACCTGAAACTCGAAGCTTTAGATAAGGACCGCAGGAGTTTTAATGCGTTTAATTCAATGACATGGAAAGAACAGATACAACTGGCAGGGAAAGTGAATAAAGTGGGTGGACGAAGTGTTTGGAAAGTATCTTACATGGCATTATGCTTGTCGTCACAGAGGATGGCATCGTTTTCTTTGAGGCCCCACTTGTCGAGGAAATCCTGAACAAAGGCGAACGTTAGTCGGAAAATAAGGAACATTTCTTGCGGCTGCGGATTAGACACTTTAGACGTTTATGGAATGTGAAGTCCACGTGTGTAATAGTTCGGGCAAACTTCGAAGTTATAAAATACATTAAAGAACTCTAGAATTAACAGTTGAATACCTTGCCAACGACGGCTTGGATGTCGAGCAGGGGGTTACCACAGCCGAGGAGGACTCCTTCTGGAAGATCTGCCATGCTAATGAATCCTTCCTGAAAAGACTTTTCTAATGGGAAATCGAAACAAAACGCCTTTTTGAAAGCTAGCGGTAGGTGTCACTGGCGAAAGCGGTGTTTTTTAATAGGAAAGACAAATGAAAACAAACGGGGGCATGGAGTTTTAGAACAAAGCACAAAAGAAGCGATTACAAACCACTTGAAAAAGGCTGCGGGCAGCAAAAAAAAGTGCAACATCGAAATGGACCACGGCAGGATCGATACAGGCATTAATTAGCTGTGGCCGGTGCGTTACAAACCTGCACAGGGCATAGGATGGAGCGTGGCCTCGAAGATAATTGTCCGATTGTCACCGGCCCCGCCTACATTTGCCCTTCCAACAGTAGAGAACAAGACGGGTATTTTAAATCGTCATGAATAATAATCACCTTGTTTTTTGTCGGCTTGAGAATCCTGTCCAAATTTCTCACGCAAGAAAAGCGCTTAATTCTCTGCTCAAGATTCGTCAGTAGCAAAATAGCTTGAACAAACGCGAGAACATAAGAAGCAGTGTTGTCGATCTCTGCGTCTCTGGCTGCTAAGTATGTACTATTCATGGTGTGGGACCTTGCAGAATGGGGGAAAGGTATAGACACATAGCGACTGGAAAAAGCGGAAAATATGAGACTAGAAGCGGGTGAAGTGGGTTAGATAGGTACCGATCGGCAAGCTCCACTCCAAGCGTCTTCGGCAGCGTTCAGACTTCGCGACGGCAGCGCTTCGCGGCGCGTTCGACGCGATCGATGCAGTCGAAAGCATGCGCATCGATCGTCGAATCGCGCGACCGAAGCGCTGCCGTCGCGAAGTCTGAACGCTGCCTTCGAGAAATGTTGTGAGAAATTCGGTCCCAACTTCGAATTCTCGAACTCCCATTCTTCGCTTCCAGGATTTTTCAGACCTCCCTTTCGCTAGATATCTAACCCGATTCCGCCAGTCTCCTATTCACCGATTTTTCGCCAGCGGGCGTTAGATAGCGCTTTCATATTCTGCATCAGTATTTTCAGCCTAGACCGGTTTTGAGCATTTTGAGCCATTGGGAAAATACAGGTATCGATCTAGGGCTTCGTGCCAGCATTCGCTGGTGTACGCTCAAAACGCTGACGCAAAGCGTGAACGCACCCTCGAGGGCAAAGTTCTAAAGGTTATTCCACACAGGTCATACGAACGGAGCACATCACGCAACCTTCATTGCTACGCCCGGGGCACATTACTGTTGAGGATTCCTAACGGTCAAGCGGGGAGGGGCCTTATCTGAGAAATCCCTTTTGGGTGAGAGCCCTCATACGTCTTTCCTTTTGGAAAAGGTGATGAGGAGGAGAGGCAGGACATATGGTAGTGATGTGGTGAATAAAAATGTTGAATACAACCTTGTTTTTTTCATTTTTTTGATTTCTCCTTCGATGCACCCTCCTGGCCCCACCCACCTCGAACATTTTGCAAAATTCTGGACAAGCGCCGAGGCGAGCTCCAAAAATTAAGGCACCGTGGCAGGCCCGGCTCCCCCATACGATAGGCGCGGAATGTGCCTTTATTGCGCACGACCGCTTCGAACGTCGCGAATGGATCGCGCAGAAGAATAGCGTTTATTTCGTCCATCCTGGCCTGCCTACCTTATCGTATACTCCGTATCCCAAAGATGAAGAGGGTATAGCTGCGTATTTCATCTGTACATGACGTACGATTCGTTTTTCATGGGATTTTTCCATTCAGAGCAACCCTTATCCCGTCTCATGCTGGACAAAGACATTTTCAGCGGCCCCAGAACGAAGCTACCCATCAGAAGCGCGGCTGTCACCACCCTAAAGTTAAGTATGCAGTCGGCCACTCCCCATCATATGCGGGTTGGGTAGTTTTTCTCAGAAAATGTCGATCAGGAAGCAACCTGTGTTGATTCAGTGGTACGGTCATGGCTTATTTCACTTGGTTTATATTTCGATTGCTCTTGTCAAAAAATCCCGATGGTTCAAGGCACATTCCACGATTACCGAAGTGTCCAACGGATTCTTAAAGCAGATGGCCTGGTTTACCAACCGTCAAAGAAGTCTCATTTCGCGGTGCGTCGAAGATGAGCAGGAACACGGCTGCAAACTCTTCGAGCAGGACCATGGTGTCGGCCCACATTGCCCCTGTCGTGTGGAAATGTCTCGGAGCTCGTTTTCTGGTCTACCACACACTGTCTTCGTCACCTTTCGCGCAGTGTCTTGGCCATCTTGTTGTCGCTCACTCAATAATCACAATTAAGTGCAGGAAGGACAGCCTTACTGAGGCAGGGTTTTTCCCATTTTCTTTGTCACCAGACAGCTGGCACAGACAGCTTTGTTTGTGATCCTCATTACCTATGAAATGCAGTGACAGTATAGTTGGTATCATCGCAATCAGTCAGTTCGATTTTCAGAGGGATGGACTGACCCCTCCTGCGGCGTTGTCACCACTGGTTGTTTTCTTCCTGACTCAATCACTAACGATCACAACTGGTAGAAGAAGGCAGAAGGAGGCAGGTTTATCCAACCCCATACACGTCCCCCCCCACCAAATGATTGCGGTGTTACAAACTATATGTGTCTTCAAGCAAATAATTCAGGGTTGCTCCATGACAAGGATTTAGTTGACGTTCGAGAAAACCTGAGAGCTATTCAATTATTTCCCTAACCGCACAATGGAGCATTGGATTTGTTGTGTTGGCACTGGAAGAGCACTGGAAGCTGCGGCTCAACTTGTCACCGTACTCGCCCAAAACGGATAAACTGCAGACTCATTTTTTTTCTAGTAAATCTAGTTGTTTGCGGACATCTGTTCATAATGTTTACCCCGATCGTTTTGAGATTCTGGCAGACTGCCCTGCCCCTTGGGTACTGAAAGGGTTCTGAATATTCCTTATTCGAAATGAACCCCGGCTGAGCCGTCCTCCTTTAGTTATAAGACCGCGTCTATACTACACAACCGGCGGAACCTGTCGCTGCTGCCGGTTCTCAAAACGATC